GAGTTTAGTTGATCGGTTGACTTTGATCAATCAAGGCCAAGGTGGTGATTTTCGGATTGATGAGAATGGTATCATGAGATGTCTTGATAGAGTTTGTGTTCCTGATGTTGTTGAACTAAAGAAGAGTATTCTTGAGGAAGGGCATCGTAGTGGATTAAGTATTCATCCGGGTGCTACTAAGATGTACCAAGATTTGAGGAAAGTATTTTGGTGGCCTCGTATGAAGAAGGATATTGCCGAGTTTGTGTATTCTTGTTTGACTTGTCAGAAGTCAAAGATTGAGCATCAGAAACCGTCGGGTTTGATGAGACCGTTGTTTATTCCTGAGTGGAAATGGGATAGCATTTCTATGGATTTTGTATCTGGTTTACCGAGGACGCCGAGTAATTTTAAGGCTATTTGGGTTATTATGGACAGATTAACTAAATCTGCTCACTTTATTCCTATGCGAATGGATTACCCGTTGGAGAAATTGGCAAAGCTGTACATTGAGAGGATTGTCAGTTTGCATGGTATTCTGTCTAGTATTGTGTCGGATAGAGATCCGAGGTTTACTTCGAGGTTTTGGGAAAGTTTGCAAAGTGCTTTGGGTACGAAGTTGCGTTTGAGCTCAGCTTATCATTCGCAGACCGATGGTCAGACTGAGAGGACGATTCAGTCACTTGAGGATCTTTTGAGAGCTTGTGTGTTGGAGAAGGGAGGAGCTTGGGATAGATACTTGCCTTTGATTGAGTTCACTTACAACAACAGTTTTCATTCGAGTATTGGTATGGCACCGTTCGAGGCTTTGTATGGTAGACGGTGTAGGACGCCATTGTGTTGGTATGATTCGGGAGAGAGTCTTGTAGTTGGATCGGAGATAGTCCAGCAGACTACAGATAAGATTAAGATGAGGATTTCTCAGAGTCGCCAGAAGAGTTATCATGACAAGAGGAGGAAATCACTTAAATTTCAAGAGGGAGATCATGTGTTTCTTCGAGTCACTCCGATGACTGGTGTTGGTAGGGCATTAAAGTCGCGTAAGTTGACGCCGCATTTCATTGGTCCTTATCAGATTTTGCAGAGGATAGGAGAGGTGGCCTATCGTGTTTCTTTACCGTCGTCGCTTGCTAATCTCCATGATGTGTTCCATGTATATCAGTTGAGGAAATACATTACGAATCTGTGTCATGTAATCCGAGTAGATGATGTACAGGTAAGGGAGAACTTGACTGTGGAGACATCACCTATGCGGATAGAGGATCGGGAGTTGAAGCAACTTCGAGGTAAAGAGATTGCTTTGGTGAAGGTCGCTTGGGGAGGACCGGCTGGTAGAAATGTTACTTGGGAGCTTGAGAGCAAGATGAGGGAGTCTTATCCAGAGTTGTTTGAATCAGGTAACATTTTCGAGGACGAAAATTCCTAAAGTGGGGGAGAGTTGTAACAGTCTAATGTTTAGTAATTAATTACTGAAATTAATTAAATGAATTATGGAGTTTATTTAATAATTGGGTGATTATTTATTAAATTGGTAGATGTTTTGAGAGAGGAATTGTGAAGGAAAGAAATTGGATAGAAAGATATATAAAGGAAAAGTGGAAAGAAAAGAAAAGATAGAAACATAAGAGAAAAGAAGAGAAAGAAAGGGAAGAGAAGAGGAAAAGCTTGGATTTCATTAAGAACAACTCTCAAGCATCGATTTGAGCAAGGTAAGGGTGTGAAATATTGTTATCTTAGCAATGTATATGATTATGTATGCTTGGGTTAGCTTGTTGGATGATTTTCTACAACTTCCATTTTTAGGGCATAATGAGTTTAATCGGTAGAACGAATGTTTTATCGGGTAGAATCTAATGTAAGTGATGTAGAATAGTCAGGGTATGATAGACTAAGGCTATTGGAACTGATTTGATGAGAATCAGTCGGTTTTGGAGAGGTTGGGAAATTCTAAACAGTGAGGAATTTCTGGTTCGCAGACACTCGCTAGCTGTTCGCTAGGCGAGCTGGTCGCGAACGCTCGTTGGGTCCTCGCCTAGTGAGCCAGTGGCAAGTGGAAACAGAATGGTGAAGTCGCGAATGGTTCGCTGTGGCGAATAAGGTAGCGAGTGAGGTCTGTAGCCTCTGTTTTGGTTCGCTAGCAGTTCGCTAGGCGAACGTGTAGCGAAGGTTCGCTAGCTTCTCGCTAGGCGAGGCAGTAGTGAACATGACAACATCTTTGTTTTTTTGTGATCTCATTCCATGTTGTTTTGTGGTTTTGATTGTGTTCGATTCTTATTGGAATGGAGGGTTGTATGCTGTTGTATATGTGTTGTGGATAGCCGTATGACGTGAATCTTAGATGATTGGATTTCTTGATATGTGGTCTTTTGGCATTATGTATGCATTGTTTAAATTGATTAAAATGCATAATGAGTTGTGATTGAATACGTTACCGTTGGCACGATGTTATGAATAATGCATGGGAACATATGGTTGGATATGTGTGCATTACTTGAAATGAAATGATATTGATTGTGAATGCATATTATTTTGTATGCGATTATATGTGAATAATGCATGAGAACATATTGTTAGATATGTGTGCATTGTGATAAACATAATGATGTGAAGTATGAATACTTTGATTATATGAATATGTTGTGTGTGCAATCTTGTTTTAATTCTTGAAGGAAGGAATTATTTGAATGCATGGGTTTAAGACGTGAGATCGGTCTTAAGTGCATTTGGTTGTTGATGCATATGCATCATTTAGTCAAGAGGCAATGTTTGCTAGTTTCGTGGAGACTAGTGGCTTGTCCCAAACCTAGAAGGGTGGGTTTGAAAGCTTAGGGAACGAGCTTTGTTATTATCGGTCTAGAAGGGTGGACCCGGTTTAAGTGTAAAAACCGAAAAATGATAACAAATGTTGGCACCACATGACATTGAGTTGTGTTGAGTCACATAGCATTGATGTCATTGTTATATGAATTATGCTTATGTGTGAATTGGTAAATTGGTGAGTTGTGAATGATGGATTGGTGCATGATGAAATGTGTTATATTATTATTCATATGTGTTTATACATGTCGTGAAATGTATGATGAGCTATGAATGATTTGTGGTGAGAAATGTGAAATGCTTGTATTCTTAATTTTCGTATATGTATATATAATTATATGCATTGATTATTATGATAATATTTCTCACCCTTCTGCTGTTTTATAATGCTCTATGAGACATTGCAGATTAGGTTGCTTGAGGTCCTTTTTGTGAAGTATATCTTCATTCTTTTGTCGGGTCGCTCTGATATGTAGCACCGGGTAGATAGGCTATATAACATTCTTTTGAGATACATTGTATATGTATCTGATGACATATATGTTTTGTAAAATCGTGAATGATGTGATGAACAAACTGATTTGATAAATATATTTATGATGATGTGTCTTAAATGATTTAATATTTTAATCTTCCGCTAAATTTCGAAAGTTGAAATGTGGGTGTAAGGACTAAGCTCCTCTATTTTCAAAACTACCCCACTGCTACATGTCATTTTGAGCAGGTGTTGTATGTTTTATTTGGCGATGATGTGACATACCTCTTTATACCATATTTTCTTAAACTCTGATGAAAATTTTTATATGTGCGTGATTGTTTTTATGTTGATTATTTGGGGGTATAGAAGGGGGTGTTACATAAAGCAGCCAAAAGAAGAAGTCAAAGAATTCACCTAGAAGCCAGGAGTTCGACCGCTTGCTGTTATGGATGGTTCGTCGAAGGATTTGAAATTCAAAAATTGGAGGGAACGATTTTGCTTAAGAAAGACACGTGACACCTTACGAGCAATAGATCCATGTATTTATGACAAGTGGTGAAAGGAGGTGATGATGGAGGTTATTAGAAGTTATTTTTTACTACTATAAATAGGATGTCTTAGACATAGCCAAGTGTGTTGTAATTTACTATTGTACATATTACTCTTAGAATTACTCCAAGTATCCGAGTGTAGAGAAAACGAGTATTATAGAGAATGTACGTGATGTAAACACACCATCTTTTAACTTAATGCAATTTACTTTATTTTGCTTTAAAACATTACAAAGTCTTTTATTGTCTTCGCACCTTTCTTCCTTACTTTATTTCTTTTTGCTTCTTGTAATTCTTTTCTCTTCGTCCTCAATCTAACTCCACCTCTCTAAACAAACTTTCTTCTCTCTTTTATTGAAAGCTTTATTTTACCTTTAAGCTATCCCGTAGTCGAATAGATGTTTCTTTAAGATACTTTCACCCCAATACTGTTCGAGTATGGAACTTGAATAGACTTTTAAAACGAAAAAACTTTTTAGCACATGTCCTAGGATCAATCTGATCGATCCTGTGAGTCACAAAGTTAGATTTGGAAGATCAGCGGTTGTTTTTCGATTTTCAAGGGAAATAGTGGGGTGTAGAGAAGTGTTTTAAGAGAGGTTTGAGAAAATTCTGAAATAAGGAAGGAGAAGAGTCTGACGCGACTTATGCTTCAAAATGTTCCAAAAATATATTTCCGAAATATTTTAAGGTTAACTTACATTTGAGTGCGTCCACACATCTCTAAAAACAAAAAATATTTGTGGAAATTCACGGGACGGCAATAGAAATATTTAAGTGCTCTACGAAATTCTCAATATATTAGTTTTTTTCACTTTAGTTTGATTTGTATATTGGTTTATTTGATTTTGCATGATCCATTTACATAGTCGCCTTTTTGTATGGACCAATTTTTTTTTTATTTCACCGGCGGTAGGGTTTTACTTTTAAGCTACTTTGTCTTTCCCCATCCACCGTCATCTTAATAACAGAGAGTGAGATCTGCTTTTCGTATCCGGTTAGTTCATTCGTTTTTGTTAATGCTAGCTAGTTTCTTCTCTACACTTGTATTTTTGTTTGATTCTGTTCAATTCTACATTCTTTTTTATAGATCCTAGGTTTTGCTACTATATGAATCGTTCACAAATTGAATTGATTTGCCCTTTTGTTGGTTATGTTTTAGCTGAAGAATAAAAATGGGTGATTTTTTGGATCCTGATTTGATCAGTGACCTTCCTCAAAGCATTGTAGAGACAATTCTCATACAACTTCCGATAAGAGATGCTGTCAGAACTAGCATTTTGTCGAGAAAATGGAGGTACAAATGGTCTACCATTACTCAGCTCGTGTTCGACGAAAAATGTTACCCTACTTGTCACGACCGGGAGCTTGTTCAGAAAAGTGTTGTTGAGTTTATCACCAGATTGTTGTTTCTTCATCAAGGGCCAATTCATAAGTTTCAAATTGTCAATACAAGTTTGCAGAGCTGCCCTGCGATAAATCAGTGGATTCTTTTTCTTTCCAGAAATGATATTAAGGATTTGAATCTTGAATTAGGAGAAGGAGAATTCTTTAGGATGCCTTCCTGTTTTTTCAATTGTGAGAAATTGACTCGATTGGAGCTCTCGCGCTGTGAGTTGTATCCGCCGGCTAGTTTTAAGGGATTTTTGTGTTTGAAGAGCCTCAATCTTCATCAGGTTTTGATATCACCTGAAGCAATTGAGAGCCTCATTTCAAGTTGCCCTCTCTTGGAGAGTTTATCACTCTCGTACTTTGATTGCTTAGCTCTTACCGTCTGTGCTCCAAACCTCAAGTACTTGTGTCTTGAAGGAGAATTCACGGAAATTTGTCTTGTAAATACTCCTCTCTTGGTTGAATTGTCCGTTGCTATGTATATGACTGACGATGTTGCCGAGCACATGGAGCATAGCTCAACTTGCAATTTTGTCAAGTTTCTTGGCGGTGTGCCTAATCTTGAGAGACTTGTTGGTCTAATTGACTTCACAAAGGTAACATTTTGTTGTTACTGTCTTTGGGATCATTCACAAGAAAAAACACCCACTTTCTCACTTATTAAGAATGATAGCTATATGTGCATATAGTTTAATTGATTTCATATAAAAAAGAAAATACATTTGGGAACCTATCCCTAATGATTTGGTCATTTCCTCACAACATTAAAACGTTAATGTAAGTGTTTTTTTTAATAATAACCTATGTTATGAATAGCGGCTGTAGCTGTCGAGATTAGGGATGGTAAAAAAGCCCGTATCCGCGGGTATCCGCGGATATAATCCGTCACAGATATAATGTGGATAGTTTAATGGATATCCATGGATAAAATAAATGGATATTTAAATATCCAGTTATTTAATGGATGTGGATGCGGGTTTAATGATACCCGTACCCGTGGATATCCATATCCGTTATTTGTAATCTTTTAAGCTTTTAATTTAGGAGATAGGAAACCAAAGTATGAATGTTAAGTAAGGAATGCATAATATGGAATTTTGTAATTATTGATGAAAACTATTTGCATTATTACTTTTTGTTTTATTTAAACAATTATTATATGGTATGATGAATTTTATTTTGTTAAAAATGAAATGTATGGGTATTATGTTTGAATGTTATTATGTTTTAGTGAAAAAAGAATGAAAATAATATGATGAAGTTTAGTTGTTAAATTGAGAGTGAAAAAATATATTTTTAAAAAATAATTTTTGACAAAAAAAGTTATTCATGGATATCTGTAAATATCCGCGGATACCTTAAAACTCGTGGATTACCTGCTTAACTGATATCCGCATGAATATGGGGCAGATACGGATATCATATTTATCCAACGGGGCAGACACGGATATCATACTATCTGTCCCCATGGATATCCATTTACATCCCTAGCCGAGATAGTGGCGCACCACGACAAAAACTGATTGGCCACTTCCTGGTGTATCCACTTCCTAGTGTATCGTCCGGCGCGATAGGGAGAAGCGGTTGATGCGGCCGAGATCACGGGCACTGTGGAGTGCGGGTGCGGTCCTGACGTGGCCGGGTTCCAAACTGGGTCGGGTCGGCCCATTACTTTAAAAAAATTTAAGAAATAATTTTTCACACTTGTTAATACTTAACATTCTTCAACGAGACACTCAACCGATGATAGGTGTGTGGATTCTCTCACTTATAAATGTTCAAGTCACCACATTTCTATCCAATGTGGGACTATTATCCACACTACTCACACTTGTTAATACTTAACACTTCTGCTTTCCTTCGCACAGCAGTTCTGTCTTCTCCTTTCCTTCGCGCACTGACTTCTTCTTCTCTCTCCATTGCTTCGTCTTCATCTTTCGTACAACAGGTATTTGATTATTTCATATTTCTTCTGTTTTTTTGTCTTTTTCGCACTGTTCTGTTTTATTTCTTGGCAGAGCTGTTATGTTTTATTTCTTCATCATCTATTCATGTCAGCTCCTCTTCTCTTCTTTCATTTGCTTCTTTCCTCTTCTTCTTCTTTCCTTCTGGACTTTCTCTTCTCTTCTGCTTTTTTATTTTATTGTTCTCTTCTGTTTTTTTCTTCCAACAGCCATGACAACTCCTCCTCCTACTAATTCTACTCAACCATTATCATCCAAGAAGAATACAAAAGGAAAGCAAACAAGCTTGAATGATACTTGTGATAAGAAAGCAAGAGCGTACATAGCTCGATTCTTTTATCAGAATGAAATTGATTTCAATGTTGCAAATTCAAAAAGTTTCAAATTGATGGTTGAAGCAATTGGTAAGGCAGCTGCACCTCCACCACCTTCACCTTCGACATCTAGATCTAAGCCAAAAGCAAAGGAAGTGGTAGTAGTAGATGATGAAGACTTAAATTTTAATGATTTTTAATCTTTTATTTTATTAGAATTTTGATGTTTAGTTATTTTAAAATTTAGATGCTCAAGTGTTTGTTTTCTTGAATTTTATTGCTACTTGGAAGAATGTTGGAATGCTTGCTTACGACTTATGGAATTGAAATTGGAAATAAGCAATTATGTATTTGGAAGTATTTTATTGCTTAAGACTTCATGAAATTTGAATTTTTTTTGTTATTTGCTAGTATGTTTTTAGTGTCCGTGTCGCCATAATAGTGGCTGCACCGCTCCCCGTTCCCATTTTGGGGTTGTCCGCACCGCGCCGCTTTCCGAGATTAACAACATAGATAAAAACATTAAAACGTTAATATCCAACAAATTTATATATTTTTTGCTTATAATTGGGTCCAGAGTAGTATCTATTTATTTAGTTAAGTTGGCTAACCCTCCTTTTGCATATAGTTTAACCATCATTGTGATCAACAAAAGAAAGGTGCTCTTTTGTGATATTTAGCTAACCTCTATACATTTTTGCATGTTCTTGAAGTATTTGAGCATAGGAAACGACTTGGGGCATCCTGCTATAATGTACAACAATTTGGAAACTATTGAAATGTATCAAGTAAGTTTTGAGGATATGAAAGAGATACTTGTCATCCTTCGCTTGATTACAAGTTCTCCTAATCTTAAGGAACTTCACATTTCCGTAAGTCATTTCGTACTCGTTGCACAGTTCAGTTATTATTTTTATATATCGTTTCTATAATCTAACATTTAAGGTTTATTTTTCATGTTTTATGCAATTGGCTCTAGCAGGGTTCATCAAACATATCAGCTGGAACATATGTTGCTGGTATGGAATTTTGGGAAAAAGAATGTCCTTCAGATTCTGTACTTAGTCAGCTTAAACTTGTGAAGTTGACCGAAATGAGTGGTGTGCCACATGAGATCGAATTTATCAAATTTTTACTTGGCTGTTCACCTGTGTTGGAGACAATGAGTATCATCCCTTCTATGTATGATTTGGAATGTCAATTGAAAATGTTGGTTGAATTGATGAAGTTTCGAAGAGCTTCTACTAAAGCAGAAGTTTATTTCATCCGGGGAGATTAAAACATTGGACTATGTTGTCAAATGCATTATTTTGCCATTTCATTTCCATTGTTACTTTATTGATTTTTTATAATAAGCATACAATCATGTACATAACCTCTTAAGATATATGAAACTTGTGCGTTTCTATCATAACCTTTTAAGATATATATGTTGTCAAATGGATTCTTTTGGCCTTTCTTCTATCGTTTCCATTTAATATTCTTTTTCCTGCGATCAGCATACAATCATATACATGGGCTTTTAAGATAAATGAAACTTGTGCGGTCGAAAATATTGCTCATAATTCCTGAGCTGTCGAAAATATGGGCTTTTAAAATATTGTTTTGTTTGATAAATATTGCTCAAGGTTCTTATTCCTGAGCTGTCGAAAATATAATCTCATAATTCCATAGTTTATATTGCTTTCCTATATTGTTTGTAGTAATGCAATTGTGCAATACAGCTTGAATTACTTGCGTTTTTCTTAAAATAATGATGATAATGTTTAAATCTTGATGGGTTAGTGCAAGTTGCTTTGAATGAGTGATTTTGTTTAAGGAACTTATTTTTTATAGAAAAAATACTCTTTAGGTCCTTAAAATTTTTAAAATAACAAATTAGTCTTTTAAGATTTTTTTTAACAATTGGCTCTTTTATGTCAACTAACGTTTGCATAGTTAACTTTTTTTAGAATCTCTGTTTCAAAATAGTTTATGTGGCACAAACGAAGATGAAGTAATAGTTAATCATGGTGATGTGTCATGGACGGTTGCTGAATTGACATTTGTGTTATTCCTCAAGTGATTAAACATGTGTAATCCCCAAATTTAGGTTACACAACCTTAATTTTCTTTCCCCCTTGCTGATTATAATTGCTACGACCGGTGAAGATTCTTCTTCCTCTTGCGTTCATGATACATTAAAGGTGAAGAAACCCTTGCGTTTAGAATACATTTAGATACGTACACTTACACAATGATGGTTGTTTTCTGTGGTTCTCGTTATGTGACGTACACTTACACAATCCTACGTGATAGAACTTAGATCGATGGTTAGGTTAATGTTGCTTATAAGTAATGTTAGTTTCAATTGTAGGGTATGTTTCTTATTTTAGGTTGATGTAAACAAGAACATATCCTCAAGTATAGGAAAGAGAATGAAGGAAATGAGAAAGGTTAATGAAGAGGCATTCAAACACTTGTTGAAGATTCCTCCAAGGTATTGGAGTAAGTCTATGTTCAAATACAATACAAAAAGTGATGTGTTGGTGAATAATATGTCTGAAACTTTTAACAGTGTTATAATTGGACCAAAACAAAAGCTAATAGTAACTATGTTGGAGGAGATTAGAGGGTACCTCATGGATAGACGGAAAACTAATAGAGCCAAGATAGTATAGGGAGTCTGTTCTTCCAAGAATAAAAAAAGTGCTTGAAAGAAGGCAAGACATCTCTAGGTTTTTTATACCAAGGTACATAAAAAATATACAATCAACAAATTACTTTTACAAATCTTTTAAGTTTATTAACACTAACTCAATGAATTGCATTTGTTTCAAAGGTTATCATGTGACATGATTTATGAAGTAAGGCATACAAGTTTGACTGGTGAAAAATTTACAATTGATCTCAAAAGGTTGGAGTGTTGTTACAAGAGTTGGACGCTCACTGGCATTCCATGCTACCATGCAATTTCTTGCATGCAGAGTAGATCTCTAGACCCAGCTGAGTACATACTTACATGTTATAGAAAGGAGGCATATCAAACTTGATACCAACCGTTCATATATCTAACAAATGGGGAAAATTTATGGTAACATACACCTTATCCTGACATACTTCCACCACCTTGTTCGCCGTGAAAATTGGTGAACAACCGTTGGTCTAACAAATCGAAAAAGATCTGTGTTACTTGCAGGATCGACCACACAAATACTAGGACATGTGCTAATTGATCTTTTAAATAAAGTGTATGAAAACTATGAACACTTTGATGAGTTTCATGGTAAGGAAACTTATTTCAAGTATAAATGAATTTAAGTAACGACAAAAGGAAGTAAAATGTTGATAAATAACAAGGATAAGAACTTGCATAGAGAAAAAAAAAAGGTAAACTCTTAAATAAAAGAAGTGTTCAATTGCATTGAAATAAAAAATTGGTGTTTAGTCAACGTACATTCTCACAACTCGTTTCTCTCAATCACACAGATACTTAGAGTAGATGAAGATTTTGTACACAATTGAACACACACATCTTAACACTAAGACTTGCTATTTATAACCATCAAACATAATCGTCATTAACAACTAATAAATGAAACCAAGACAAGTGTCGTTGCGTATGCCTTCGAACCATATGGACGCTCCACGTGTCTTTCTCAAAAACAGACTTTCCCTCTTTTATTTGAATTCAAACGAAATTGTCAAAATGCCCCTTAACAACGCTTCTGACGAATTGGGTCTTCCAACTACTGAGGAATGTCTCTAAGTCCATAACATAGAACCTCCTGACGAAAAGACGTCTCTGACTCTCATTCCATAAAACATAGTTTTAGTCGAAGTAATTAGGTTTCCCCAAGAAACTCTATTTGCTATTTTTAACTTTATTCAGGCGTCGAAATTAGGAGGCAACAAATTTCCCCCCAAAAATGTCATTTTCGACATCAATGAAGAACAAGACATTTTTTGATAGTATCGTTCAACGCCTCAAACAACTCTTGCATGTCTCTTACTATTCCAAAGGTTTATGACGTCAGACTCATCATGGAACTTTCTGCAACACGTCTCCTCAAAACACGCCATTACCCCTAGCCATCATCACAATCCCTAGATACTAGGAAATCGTGCACTAGGCACTACTAACCATGTTTTGTCAAACGATCATTGTAGGACACGTGCCCCACTAACTATCAGCTCTTTAATGCTGATTTGAGGCCTTTTGATCTTTCACAAGCCTATAAATTGCTCCAAGCTTACTTGTTTTAACTTTTACGCTCTCAGAAATTTTCAAACAACTTTCCCGTTTCTTCATTTCCAAACATCTAACCACAAACCCAGATTCTTCAAAAAATCTCAACAATGACATCTTCAACTACCAACGTCAAAGATTCTAAGAAAAATCAAAAGTCCAAAGATCTGAAGAAAATTTCTCAACTCCCGGCTTTTGACATGCTATCAACACCGATGATGATGGGGAACCAACAATTTCTCCCTGAGCCACTTGCAAAAGAGAAGATGTGTCATACCCCAAATTTTGACCCCTAGATTCCATTATTATTTTAGGTGCATCAAGCATGTGTTATCTAACCCTAATTGTTTTCAAATTAATCTTTGTCAAGATGCAGATGAATTAGGGTTTCACATTGTCAAAATCAAGAATCCTGTGGACTGATTAGTCAAAGTTTTGGATTGATCTTATATAAATCAAGTCTTCATATCATAAAGAGGCTCATATCTTGCCAAGAACAAGTTCTATTTGAGGTTGTTACCAAAAGAATAAGAGCAGTGCAGTGCAAAACCCTAATTAGGGTTCCTAGTGGAAAAAGTTAACTGAAGTTTGACTTTTGGTCTAAATGAGTTTAAAAATATTGAATCATGGTTCATGGTACTCCTATGACTTATTAAAGTCTCCTCAAGAAGTTTTAAAGGCTCAAAGAACCCAGAACACTAAGGATCGATTCTGAAGATTTCAACTGTTCGGTTCGTTTGTCTAGAAAGTCAACTATTTGATTTTAGGGTTTTGACCCCAAATTGAAGCAATCAAGGTTTCCAACATCATTTTATGCCTAAATAGCGAGTTTTGTGAAGATTTAATCAAGAATTTATGGATAACTTGCAAATCAAGAAACTAGGGTTCATGAAAACCCTAATTTTAAGCCTACTTGAAATAATCATAACTTCCTAACCACACATCCAAATGGAGTGGTTCAAAGCTTGTTGGAAATATCTCAAGTATTACTACAAAAGTGTCCTATGGGGTTGAGATCCAAAGATGCATATATTTTGAGTTATAAGCTCATCAAGTTGTGAAGAATTTCAACACTTTGAAAATTTTCATGTTTCTTGACTTGTAAGTCAGCTTTTGCAACAAATTTCAAGAGGATTTTTGACATAGTTACTTTTGGAATTTAAACTTGGGTAAAACATGAATGTTATAGATCATGTTTGGATCATTTTAAAAATTACAAGAGCATTTTCTCAACCTTTATGGTTAGGGAGAATCGAAGAAGTCAAGTTGAGCATTTTTCATGTCACAAAACCAAGTTCAGCACTTGCATTTTGATGCATAAACCCTTCAAAACTCTTCTAATCACTTGCTTAACTCATTCTTTGATTCTTAAGGACTTAATTGAAGAGGTTACAATGCATATCCCCGAGAAAAATTCAGATTTTGGATTAAATGAGTTGTTTAATCATGCAAGTGGATGCAAGTGGCAAGGAGAGATAAACTTTTTGCAAAATCTGTCATGACACAGCTACTACATCAGCTGCACTCCTTCTTTCACTTCAATACCACTATTTGTAGGCTATAAATGATGATGAAACTCATAGGGAGGAGGCTCAAGCTCAGAAAAGAGATCACAAGTTGATCTTGCACATTTTGCCTCCAAAAAGGGCAAAGTTGGCAAGATGATCCAATCTGCCCATACCACTTGCTTTCCAAGCTTTCCTATATATAGGACACTCTCTTAACATCCAAGATAAACCATATTAAGCTAGAAACCAAGCTAAATCTCCCTCATTCCTCTGATCACATTGTTCTTGCAACTTGTGAAGCTTGCTCCCTCAAGACACAAAATCTGTTTTTGCAAAACCCTTGCCAAAACCTCATACAACCATCAAAAACCTCCACCGACACTTCAAAAACATCACATATGATGTATTAAAGCTATTCAAACACTCACTTCCACCAGAAAACTTCTCACTCAAAAAGTCAACTGTTAATCCACAAAACTTTGACTTTCTGCACTTTTAGAGCCACAACTTTGTCCAGCACTTTTCCAGCCACTCCAACACTTC